GCTTGCCCCTGGTGAGCTGGGGGGTTTGTAAACCACAGGCAAGGCACCCCAGTTAGCCTGGGACTTCACTCCCGTCTGAGAGCCAGCAAAGGGAAGGGATGTGCCTAGCCTAACAACAGCTAATGAGTCAATGAATTGTGGGATAATTCAACACAATGCAATACTGCTGCCCTTCTCACTTCTTCACTCTCTGTTCTCCTGTTCACGTCTGTCATTCTGCGGAGACTCTCAGTGGACAGGCAACTGAAAACAAGAAGTTTCAGGAGCACTGATCTTCTGTAAAGAAAGCAGAGCAGTGGGAAAATGATGAGCCCGTGCGTAAGCACCTGCCCCAGTCTTGAGGATTTAAAAAACTTGCATTGCCTTTGAAACACCAATATCTGGCCCAAACAACACCTTTAACCAGACACCACACTTCTACCTGCTGCTTTAACACTGAACAACAACACTGTCTACTGAGTTCGCCCGTCTCAGTCACCATTAGGGGAGGAAGGTAATTGCAAGAACACCTCACTTGTATCGCGGAATGTGGTTTTGTTTGGCTTCTCACGTTACAAATGGCACCATTCCGAACAATGTCAGCGTAAAGGAGATAAAGAGTGCCAAATTCTCAGTAGCATGACATCCTGGGCAATCAAGTCTGAAAACTGTGCTGACAGCAAGTATATTTATCTGTATCAGATGGGGTCTGGACACAGTGGTGGTATCATGCCTGTGTAGGAAGCTCTTTCCTACTTATGCCACACAGTTGTTGTTTTAGTACACTTTAAACTGTGTTTCCAATGGAAATAAAACATGCTGAGGCAGTCTTTGTCTCCACGCATCAGTGTTTGGCTGTCTGTTAGTTGATCCATCAGACCATTCCCCTTCCCTCCACAATTTTGGAAGTCGATCAGTTCCAGTCATACTTGACAAAGAGGTACATTCCTTACTACTGTTAAGCAAGGGTGTCTGGATAGAGGGGAGCTGGCTCTCTGTTAGGACCCTTCAAGTCTTCAATGTGACATCAGTCCTTATCAGATATCAAGCATGAGAATCTATCCTAGAAACCCAGATCTAGAAAAAAACAGCGTCCAGTGAATTGACTGACCAGATAAATCCTTGGTTTCATCTGTAGCAGCAGCTCATCTTCTCTAGGGACTAGCTACATGTTCTCCTCTTCCACTGTTTCAGGTATCACAGTGCACACCCAACCTAACCTGATTCTTGCACATTAAAAAAAGATAA